GAATTATGAAGAGATAAAGTGGATTGACCGATAAGGAGCGGTTAAATTTAAATTGAAACGAGCAGGCCGACGAACGGCGAGCATGTTTTTGTTGGTTAGTTGTGTGACTGGCGGATTCCATTCGATGTTCTGTTACTTCTGCACCCGATCTGATTAAGATAAAATTCCGAAGATTGATGCATTATCAAAAATGACTAGCTTTTTCCCGCGTTTTCGTCCGCGTACACCTCGAATCCATGGATTTCCTTTATATTTTTTCACGTACAGGATGTCCCATTTTAGTTGAAATCAAAAGTCGGTTTATCTCTGTTATTAATGATAAAAAATTATAAATTTTTTGTCAAACGGAAGATGCTGTCAACACAATTTCATAGTTCCCTCTTCGTTTCAGAGCTACAGCGTCTTTTTGAAAAGTTTGCAGTTTAGGGCAGCCCCCGTATCTTCGTTATTGCGAAAGGTATCGAGACTGATTCTTAACTACAACTGATTCTTGTAGAACTTTTTACGTAGAATACAGTGGTGTAGTCTGTTTTTGTACGATTTTTTTTTTGAAAATATGAACTGAATTATCTAAAGGAGTATCTAATAAAAGTTCCGGTACGATAGCTTCCAAGATTTACAAATAGCGGTAAAGAGTTATGTTTCCATGATCTATAAAGAATTTATTAGTGGTTCCTAAAATAAAACAAGAGACAGATAGCAGTGTACTTTTAATAAATTCTTTAGCTTCTTTTATTATCAATCATGGCCTACTAAACGAATAAATTGATTTTTTAATGAAAGCATTCAAATATGGCAGTAAATAGTGAAAATTAATTTGATAAGTGATATATATTTTTGAGAAGCTTATAACAAGCCAGATCATATAATTTATAAATATACAGGGTGTTCCATTTAAGAAAACAAAACTTTAGTTCATATCTTCAAAAATATTCTTTTCGTAGAATAACATACTACGAGTATGCCACTGTATTCTACCGTAAAAAGTTCTACAATAAACAGTTTTCACCTTCTCGATGCCTTTCACAATAACAGAGAAAAGTGGCCCAAATTGCAAAATTTTCAATAAGACCCTTTAGCTCAGAAACGAAGAGAGCTACGAAAATTTTGTTTACATCTTCCGTTTGACAAAAATGTGTGACAGGTTGGTGCAAAAACCGTACCCTTATCTTCACTAATAACAGAGATACCATATGATTTCAGCTAAAATGGGACACCCTGTACAGGGTGGGTCAAATTCGACGCTTTTAAATGGAAACACCCTTTTCTATAGGAGATAGACCAAAAATTAATACCTGTGTCTGGAGTTCAATTTTCATCAAAAACATGATGGTGAAAATCGCACATCAATATCTGTTACCGTTTCGGAGTTACGGGGTGTTTTTCAAAAATGTGCATTTTTAACAAATCGCTGTAACTTTTTTACTATGGAAAATTTTGTATTTCTATGAAAACATTTCCAAAGCACCTTTTTACGTAGAATTTAATGGTTTAAGTGTAATTTTTTTAAAATTAATAATTTAAGAGTTATCACAACACAAAAATTGATTTTTTATTTGGGACACCCTCTATATTTTTAATTAACTAAAAAGAATTTAAAATTACCTTTCCAAAAATATAGCACACTTGATATTTTGTTATAATCCCCTTCGAAATACAGAAATTTTAAAAGTTCGCCACTTTTAACTAGTAGGCTTTGGAGCCCTTATTGTTGATCCCTTAATGGAACTCGAAAACATATTTTTCCAGCAAGACGACGCACCGCCTCTGAACGCTGAAGTTATCAGCAAATTTTTGCAGCCAGTTTCAAGAATAATTGAATAGCTAACCAAGATCCCAGCCGTTGGCCGTCGAGGCCACCTGACTTAGTGCCCATGGATCTAATCCTATGGATATATTTGCGGAAGAATAAAGGTTCCTCATTCTTCCGTATAATCTAGACAAGAATTAGAAATACTTAGCAGTTATGAGAGGGTATCTTTCACCCCCACTGAGTTAATGAATTCCGCGAGAAATGTTCAAAAACTGCCCTGTCTGTCCATAACAGAAGACGGTCGATATGTCGAACACCTGTAGCAACATCTCCTGTGTTGGTTTGCTATTTATTTTTATAGTTATTAGATATAGTTTAAATGTGTTAATATTGGTTAAATATATTTTAAATTGTTATAAAATTTGCGTCTCTCACACCAAATATTATTTTCGTTTAACTGATGCTTACAGTTGGATTTTTTTTGCATTCCAGCCGGTGCCGTTTAAAGCCTACTTATTTAAAGCGGGCGAATTTTTATATACTCTATATCTCGAAGGGGAATCGAGTAAAATATCAAATGTGTTATATTTTTGGAAAGGTAATTTTAAATTATTTTCAATAAATTAAAAATATACAGGGTGTCCCATATAAAAAATCAAATTTTCTGTTGATAATTCTTAAATTATTAATTTTTAAAAAATTATACTTAAACCAGTAAATTCTACGTAAAAAGGTGCTTTGGAAATGTTTTCATAAAAATACAAAATTTTCCATAGCAAAAAAGTTACAGCGATTTGTTAAAAATGCATATTTTTGAAAAACACCCCGTAACTCCGAAACGGTAACAGATATCGATATGCGGTTTTCACCATCATGTTTTTGACAAAAATTGAGCTCCAGACACCGATATTAGTTTTTGTCTATCTCCTATAGAAAAGGGTGTTTCCATTTAAAAGCGTCGAATTTGACCCACCCTGTACATATTGTAAATGATAGTTTACGCTTTTATGGATACAGCTAGTCAGCCTTACAATTGCAATCTTTAAACTATTAGTAGTTTTAAAGCTGTTTCAGATGAGCATTTCTAATTATAGATTTTCTGGGATTCTACATTAAGTATTTATTATTATATACCTATTTTATTTTTCAATCTTCTATAATTTTTTTACTTAAAATTTATAAAAACCGTTAATATTACAATTTCAAGAGCATTTTTATCATCTTTACAGGTGATTGTAATTAAATATAAAATGTAAAATAAAATAATCTTTGCGTTATTGGTGTATATAAAAAAATCCTAACCGTTTCTTATTTTTTCATCCCTTGTATATGACTTTACGACACTTTGTTTACCAAAAATATAACTTGTGGTTATACTGTTCTGACATAAAAAATCTTAATAATTCTGAAAATTATTGAAATCAACGTATTTTAAAGATCAATTTTGGGCTCAAAATTATTTTGAAATGTTGCTTGTATTTAAATCTTCTTTAAAGTTTTCTGATTCCTTCCATTGCATTGACTGAAACTAATTATATTATACCGGGTGCGTCTCAAAACCCCTCTAACTTTTTTATTTTTTCGGATAAAAAAAACGAGATTTGGTATGTTAGTATATGACATAAATTAGGATTGATTGACGTATTCAATTGTTGTCGGTCACTTTCTGTTTCACCGGAAATGACTATAACTTTTGATTTTTAAATGGCACCCTCGGTATTGTGTTTTAGTTTATTCGATAGAAAATGACATTCTGAATAGAATGACATATCATATGTCAACTTTTGACAATCTCGCTTTAAAAAAAATCGTATTTTAAATTTCAATCTAGAGTGTTATGGCTGTGATAAAAACACTAATTTTTAATCAAAGAGCCGTGGAAAAATGGATTTGATCGTCTAATGTTTTTCGTGTCTTGGCCTGGCCCGATAAAATATATCCAAATCGTATTTTTAATCATATTTCAATTTTTTCAAATGGAACGAGGGTGGCTCATTAGCATATTTGGAAAAAGCATTTTTTTACGAATAATTTGATACCACAGACTTGGTATTTCGAGTCAAAATGTCGTTATGAACCGCACAATTTTAAATAAACCATATATGCGAAAATGTCAAAAGTTGACATGACATACGTCATTCTATTCAGAGTGTCATTTTCTATCGAATAAAGTAAAAAAATACCGAGGGTGCCATTTAAAAATCAAAAGTTGTAGTCATTTCCGGTGAAAGAGGAAGTGACCGAAAACAATAATTGAATACGTCAATCAATCCTAATTTATGTCATATACTAGCATCCCAAATCTCGTTTTTTCAATCTGATAAAATAAAAAAGTTATAGGGGTGAGCCACTTTTGAGACGCACCCGGTATATGGTTGGATGAAGGATGGACGACGCTCTTGCATGACGGTTTTTAATTATGTATAGGGAGTTATAAATCGAGCAAATATCAATATTTTGCAAAACCCAAAAAAGAAAATTTCCGGAAAATAATAAATAGTGAAATGTCCATTTACCCTCTATGGATAGAGCCCTATACAATGGTCCTATATAAACTGTATTTCTAAAATGAATAGCTTTAACATATTTAAGATGAAAGTTTGCAATTGTCGAAAACTAAAACTTAAAAACTGTTTTGTTTATTTTTTTTTCACCTGAAATGAAATAAAAGACGTCAATATAAGAATTTTAAGAGCAACAATATTTCTTTTATAAGGTTATTTTTTATATAAATTTTTACTAACTTTACCTATTTAGTTGGTGAATTTCAAAAGTCTCTTCTAAGTGTTCTACACTTAGGGATTTTTCTGCAGAATTTCAGACTTCTAGACCTGATAATAAGGAATTTTCATACAACGAACTTTCCAACATGTTTCTACGGTCTAAGAAGCTGGATTTCCTAAAACCGCTTTGTCTAGCTAATAATCTAATATCATTAAAAGAATATTTGCGCCATATTTATGTATCTAAAGACAGTGCGCGCAGCGGTACAAACTAAAAATTTGATATAATAATAATATAATCCAACTGACATACCACTAACAATGACAAATAATTTATTTCTAAAGGTATTTTTTCAAAGTGTTTTTAGGTGTATTTTAATATGTATTCATTTTACATAAAAAAATAACGATTAAACAATATAAAAATACTTCATAAACAATCTGCAAATATATGCCTATCATTTAAGAAAAGAATAATTAAAATTGGTGAAGAGGTAGCCGCGGCATGCATGGGATAAAAAAACTCTTTGAGCTTTTATATGGATTTATTCCTTATTAATTTAGCTCACACAAAATATTCAATGTTTACAACTTTTTAATTACCTTAGCAAAACCAAGCGGCTTATTTTGCACTAAAAACTTGAATTCTTTTTCGTTCTTTTCAATAACCACTGTAATTTCTAACTTAAACAGAAATTCTTTCTCGTCAATTGTTTCAGTTTTGTACTGTTTTAGTTCGTATGCGCTCTTTCCTAAAGTGTCTTCTAATATCCTGTAACAGTCTTCCCGAAAAATCTCTGGATATAAACAGCTTTCAATTACTTCCTCCACGGCTTCAGTTAATAGTCCTCTAAAATTATCATCGGTGTCAAATAACTCCAAGGCAAAAGGAGTTTTATCTCCAAAGACAAATTTAATGAACTCTTCTTTATTACCAAGTAGTTTTGTATAAAAATCTTTATTACCGCACTGTTGAAGTCTTTGTAGGGCCCCTTGAATTTTAATTTCGGGCATAATAAAAGTAACTGATCCTAGAAATTCATCGTAAGCCATGGAAACTTCTTCGGGCGATACGTTCAGTGATTGTAACTGGTTGCAGATCTCTTTATAATAGTAATTGAGGTAAAACGTGAAATATTTCTGTTTGGTTTCTCTGTTTGTTGTTAGGGATATAAATAGGAGCACGTCGTGGATTGGAACATTGTACCTTTGAAGCTGGAAATCGACTAACAGGACGTTGATTGGTTCAGAACTGTCTCCTTCGTATTGGTACATGATATTTTTGGCCCACAGATCGCCGTGAGCCAGCACATTTCTGAAATTACTATGAGGAAACATTAACTGCAATGCTTTTTCCACCAGTATTTCAAATTTAGCATTGACTTCTTCTAAAGGTTTTTCGCCTTTATACACTCGATTAATTAATGCTCGCAAGCCACTAACACCGGCTTTAAACCAATCATAGCCTAGAAATCCTTCTTCTTTTCGGATTAATGGTTCTTTAATAAGTTCCTCTTCACCGGAATATAATCGATACGGTTTGCCCAATTCGCGGGATTTATATTCTTCGTAGGCTAAACTTCCAGCGTGATACTTGGCCAAAGCTTTGATGGCCAGGCAGATGTGTTGATTGTCTAGAAGATTTAAACTGGGCTTTCTCGGCAAGTCAAAGTTCCTCAAAGTCAGATCTTCAAAAACGATAATATCGTTAGGTTTACCTAGCAAATAGCGCGGTACAAAGTCCAAACTGTAACCTGGCAGGGTCCTTTCGAGATTTGGAAGGAACGTTTCGAAGAAATATATTTCTCTTTGCCATCCTTGCATGGAGTTTAGATATTGGCTTTGCATTGGGTGCTCGAACGGGAACCTTTTGGTGAAGAAACGTAAAGTGGTGGTTCTTTCTTTTATTTTGACGTCGATTAGCAGTAATAAATGCTCACCGAGAAATCCGTTCACTTCACTAAAAAACGGTTTAAGGTTGTACCACATCACTTCAAAATCATTTCGGTTTAGATAGTTTTTTACAATTGTTTCACAATCGGTTGTGCTGAGAATTTCACTTGCCATGTCTTCAACGCTAGACACTAAATTAAAATTTATAAATACGGAATTGCTTGGATATATGTTTATCCATCAAGGTTATCTCTATTTGGGTTATCGTTCATGATGCTGTTTATTTTTTGATATCGTGACTTTATAATTTTAATTCTGATAATTTGTTTTATTCTTTAAGTACTGGGTATATAAAAATAGTTGAGATTATTTTCTTAGCCTATTCAGACTATATTATTTTAATATTAATTCAAACAGGGTGATTCAAACTTGGACCTATTGATATCAGGAAAATATAAATGAATATAAAAATGGATTCAATGCTGATCAATTAGATCCAAACTAGGGTTCAGAACCGGGAAATCCCGGGAATGAAAGTACCGGGAATTTCCGAGTATTTTGGTTTGGTTTGTTTTTTTTTTTTCGTTCTTTCGGTACTGAGTAACAATAATTAAAAAAATATTTTTACATGCGAAAGGCCATTGATACTATCTAGCAGTGGAAATAAAAACTCTTCCCAATAAGTAGTGATGCTATCTCTTACTGTTCTTACTTCTGAAGTTCTTTTGAAGTTCCTATAATGTTTATTAGCAATTATTGAAGTTTAAATATATTATTTTATTATGTAGTTAAATGTATTAGTTATATTTTAATGTCGGCTTTAATAGATACTTGCATTTTTAATTCAACTTTTTTTCTCAAATTTAGTTAACTTGGTTTATGTTGTTTGGTGTGAATTTTAAATTACCTCTATTCTTTCTTCGCTTGTATTCCGGTATTCTACTTATTAAAACATAACATACACTTAAGTGTATCTACTGTTTAGATTTGGTTAGTAATCGAAATATAATAGATTATTCTATTATTAGGTAATTGTTTAGATAATAACTTATAACAAATATATTGCATATCGTCGGTGAAATGTGATAAACTGCTAACTCCATTATTCCCCGTTTTTGAGGAGAGAAAAAAACTGTACAAAAAATATACTTACTGCCATTACTCTCTGACGAGTATTTGACACGCATCAGAAGATGGTTACGGAAGGCGTTTTCTTTCATGAGCTTTTCTGTGACTGAAAAGCCCGATACGTGATTTTATCTCTCTTCCGTACTCCGGACATTCAAAAATCTCATCACTTTGTTGCCTCTTTACTTTTTGGTTGTCGTTGTTAACTGAGTTTACAATTCTCCTGCATTGCGTTCTATCTACTGATGCTGCATACTTATCCCCTTTAAGTTTTCATGAACAGCATCCTTGTATCTTTTGAGTTGTCCACCCGGTTTCCTCTTACCTTCTACAAGTTCACCGTAAAGAAGAGATTTCGGTGGGCGGTTTTCTTGCATCTTGCACACGTGGCCAGCCCATCTTAAGTGGGATTTACTAATCATGACTTCAGCGCTCTCGCCGCTTGCTTTTTCGAGGACTGATACGTTTGAGAAAAAATATGTACACATGTAGCAAGTATATTCATGCGTTAATATGATAAAGAGACAACAATAATATTTGTTGGGAAACAATAAAACTCAATATTTTGTGAAACATTTTATGCAAAAATGATGTATTAAATGTATTATTGACTTGAAATCAAAAATGGAGTTAGCAGATTATCACGTTTCACTGACGATATCTGCTTCCAAAGGCACTTATATAACTCTCTCGGTTTCATATGTGATCACACAATTTTTTATCGAGAAGCATTTTTTAAGGCGTATTCTCACGACTCACGTGTACTTGGCAACCACGCCAATATTTTGAATATTTTCGTACTTGACAAGTATACTATCTTTGTAAACAACATTTTTTGCAACAAGCTCGGCGCTCACCAACCCGAGAAAAGTGAAATAAATAAGTTACTTTTTCGAAATTTTGATGATCGGGAGTGTGTCCCTATCGAAATTAAAGAAATTTGACTAATGTTAATTCCTAAATCTATAATTAATTATAAATATTTAAGATATTAAGATATGTTTAAAGTTTTTGTATGCGTAAATCAACAATAAATTATTTAAGTACGATATCTTTTTTAATGATGATTTTAGTGATTATTAATTTATACTTTCAGAATTATTTTCTGCTAATGTGATATATACAAAGAAGAAGGCAATGAAACGGTGACGTCACTGGGAAATCGTATATTAAAGGAAAAAGGAGATAAAGAGTCTTTCGTCGGCAATCTGGAAGCTATTTACTCGATTTATCAGCGATCGGTTCATTTAACGCCACGACTGGCATTCGAGGAAATTAAGTAAACTTTTCGGATTTTATTTCGAAGGGTGAAAACAACTCCTGAATTCGTTCAGAGATTTTTTTCTTTCTTTTTCCTGAACTTTCGACATTAGTTTAAGTGGTAACTTTTTTATATCTTAAAAAATATTTGTTCTTTTGCGTCAATTACTTGTACCTGTTGAAAAGAAATGCATAACATTGTTAGTGTATCACATTTAGAAAAAAAAAAGAAAATAAACGTGTTTTCAAAAAACCGGAAGTTTTTCCATAAATATCAGTTTCGGATATAAGAAGTGTTGTTCGCACAAAACGTGAAGTTGGATGTATAATTAAACCAAAGTCTGTACAGGGAGGTCCGAACTGTATTCCGGAAACTTTGGCAGCGTATTGTATAGATAAAAATAAGTAAAAAAGTTCATACAATTTTATTAGTGTAGTTTCATTTTTCTTTCGATTTTTTCCAAATAATTTCTGAAATAATAGTCTATAAGAGCTAGCAACGTTTTCGAGAAAGTATTTTAAGACGTCTGGCTCTTTGATATATCTTTTACTATGCTCTCTGGAACAACATGCGGCCCGTCTGGCTGCCGATACCCGTTGCGTTCACTAGTGCGCATCGGAAGAAGATCCTATATTGTTTTATTAATTTAGTCCTATAAATTCTAGTACTGAATATAAATCGAACATGTCTCCATAGCGCAGTGCATAGAGTTTCCGACCACGAACCAATGATTGAGAGTTCGAATCCGGGTCAGGGCAAAGACGTTTTTATTTTATTTTCGTTTATATTCTGATAGTAAAGTATTAAATAATTTTGGTGATTCAAAAAAAAACAAATATTTAATGCTTTACTATCAGAATAAAAACGAAAATAAAATAAAAAAAGTCTTTAACCTGACACGGATTCGAACTGTGAATCATCGGTTCGTGGTCGAAAACTCTACGCACTGCGCTATGGAGACATGTTCGATTTATATTCAATACAAGAATTTAAAGGGCTAATAAAAATATAGGATCTTCTTTCAATGCGCAGTAGGGAACGCAATTTTTACCGGCAGCCAGACTGTTCCAGCATGCTGTTCTAGAGAGCATAGTAAAAGATATATCAAAGAGCCAGACGTCTCAAAATGATTGTTTTTTCCGACGTTCCTAACTCTCGTACTATAATGTCAATATTTAGATGAAAATTGGTGTTTGGGAGTTTTTTGACATGATATATTTGATTTTGATGTCAATATGACTCCTGTTTGTAGAGGGCGCCACCTACCTACATACATGTATTTTAACTGTTTTATAGATTATTAATACACTTTTTGTCCATACCTGTATAAAACATACTGAGTGAAAAAATATACATTTTCGTGACATTTTTTAAATGTCTTTTGGTTTGGTGATTGCTACGCGCAACCGTTCTCAAGATATTTAGAATGAAAATAGTTAATATATGTCATTATTGACAAAAAATAAACACGTTGAGTAGATAGTTATTTGATTGAAATAACAAATTTGGGATTTTTTTTAAATTAATAAAAAAAAATTTCTGCGAAAAAATGATAAAACATTTCAAATTTATTTCAGTGTATAATAACTATTTAGTCAACATATTTAATTCCTGTCAATGATGACAGGTACCTATTGATAATTTCGATTCCAAATATCTCGAAAACCATTACTCGTAACGATTTTTACCAAGAAACAGTTTCGAGTTTCGACGTAAAAAAACTTCGTAAATGCATATTTTTTACTCGGTAGTTTTATACAGGTACGGACGAAAAGTTTTACTTTCAAATCAGTTATCCAATATATTAAAAATGAAAGCACGAAGAAAAAAATAAATAACGCCACTGGGTTCCGCGGAAAAAGTAAAATTAGTTTTTATCTTTGCCAGATCTTTTATAAGATTCCAGACAACTGCAACATTTCTAATATCATTCTTTAGTAAGGAAACTGAGGAGGCCATAAGAAAATTTTGTTTGCAGCATCTTTAGTTTCACCTAACAGTAACTCAGATTCGCAAAAACCGCAATGATTTAGCTTTACTAGTATAAGTGAGTTAGCCACTTTTGCAACAAAAATAACACCATACATGGTATCCAGGGTGTTCGGATGGTCTCAAAAGTAAGGTCTTATGGCTTTTTCTTAGCTGATTCTTACTTTTAATTATTTGATAAATTCGTATACTTTAGTAAAGATTTTATTAGAAAATTTGATGTAAATTGTATGCAATACTGTAGTCGTGTCAGTTCCTTATTTCTATAGAATTAATTATATTAAGCTTTCATTTAGGTCACTTTTATATAGGACGTGATGTATTTTATTTGAGAACGCTTCAATTAGCATTAATCTGTAGTTTAATAGAAGCAATTTATGGTATGAATTATATCAATAAGAAATAAAATAAAATTGATTGCAACAATCTTATATAAATAGTACACGCGAAACTAAAGTAATATAATATTCTTTGGTAATAGTCATCTGAAATGATATATCTACCTATGTATTTTAACTAAAATAAAATAATTTGTCTATTGCAGGGCTTTTAGGGAGGGATCATAAATATTATATTTATTTGTTTTAATAAATTAAATTTACAGTGGCTCTATCCACAGACTAACTAGCGCATGTGCTTCGAACATTAATAACTATAACACAATTTTTTGTGTTCGAACAAAAGAACACTTTGTTTCATTTTTGGAACACTAATAAGAAGAGAAAAACAAAATCGTCATTTCCATATAAACCTAGCTTATACATATTATATGGAATACGTGGAATGCAAGAGGAAGGAATTTATTTTCCATCAATCTA